TCTATTAAATAAAAAAGACCATTTGGCTTGACCTGTKGTTTTCTGTCTTATAGACCTATAGAGAACATAACGCATTTATAATGACACAAGCTCCCATGGAAAACACGATAGCAGATTTTTCGAGAATGGTATTGGACTACGAGATAGGAACCATCGTCATGCTGAACAATTTGGAAGAGGAATGTGAGGTGGGACATTCATACTGATTTGAATTTCTTAATGAAGCTATATCATGACTTAACCTTCAAGATTCTTTTCTTCAATATTTTTGGCACTATTTTTAATTTTATTGTTCTGTTATTAAAATATCTGCTGATGCCTTGCACGCTTACAAATCAGTTTTAAAAAGCGGCCAAATCTCGTATACAAAGAATTTCTTCTTTTTTTCTTTTTTTTCGTTTTTGTTTTTGTTTTTGCTTTTAGTCTTTTCCTCAATACTGGCCGCAACATGGAACTAAAATGTATGGAGATGTCACTGTTGAACTGGTACAGACCACGGACGTGGATAATATAATTGCAAGGCAGTTTGAAGTTACAAAGCAAGGGGCAAGTAATAAAGTATTTGATTTGATTTGCAAAATAGTTGAATAGCTTTCAATTTACTTAAACCGCAACTACAATTAAGAACAGTGGTTGAACAACACATATACCGTGCTAAAAAACAATTTTTAATTTTTCTAATTATTGTGGTAAAAAAAACACTTGACTATTTGATGTACCTTGTGTGGTGCGGCGGATTAAGCCTGCTGTCTGCACCCCTGCAATCTTTTCTACTACCAGCAACGTAGAATCTTATGTTTAATTTATGCTTTATTAATTTGTTAATTTTATTGCCGTTTATGCCTTAATTCTATGACGGAAAAAAATGCCACAGAAGTCTAAGCTCAGATACTTGAACCGCTTCTGCGACGACGTACATTGGTAAAACTGCATATATCCTTGTAGCGTATATGCAATGGATATTAAACACGTTGCAATTGTTTTCGCTACAACAAAGTCTACAACAAAATCTATGCTTTTGACTTGCGGGGGATCTTCGAGAAAAAATAGATACTAGTTAAAACTTACTTTATGGTCCATCGCATTATCCTCAGTCTTGCCAATACTCGTTGTTTTTCCAGACTCGTCGTATTGTGTTTCATCTGCAACACTTGACTTGGGAGAACAAATGTATCCCTGCTGATCCCCAGACAGTTTTGAATTTGATCGATGAAGTACAAAAATATCAACAGAAGTCAGGAAACTCCCCAATAGTAGTTCAGTGCAGGTACTTTTGTTATTGAAATTTGTTACTCAGCCCAAGCATAAGCTAGTACTTTACTAAATCTGTGCTGATCCTCTTTTCATATCAACGGTGTTGGTCGTAGCGGTACATTCTGTGCTATTGCTTCGTGTCTTGAACGAGTCAAACAAGAACAAGTATTGGACGTCTTTCAGACCGTTAAGAGTATTCGTGTCAACAGACCTGGAGCTGTAGAAACATTGGTATGAATTAGACTTTGTTAATTAATGYAAAGCWAGAAAAAATTTCATCAGTRTCRATAYATWCCCKGTGGCTAAAATGAATAAATAGAAAAMGTGYRCGMCTGCTATGGCTATACATGTGTAGTTTGAAGCGCGCGAAAGTGCCTAAATACACCCCCTGCAGCACTTTGGAATGCAGCTCAATCCGGAGGACAAAACAATAGGTTCTAATTCTCAGCAGATTGGAATTATTCTTTTGTTTTGTTCCCCAGATCGAGCTGCTTTGACGTCACATCAAGGCGTCTATACAAGAGAAGGGTTAGAATAAGCATGACGCGTAGCCATCTTAACTTTAGGAGAGAAAAAAAAAGTTTTATCCCGACATTTAAGA